CAACCCCTCCGGGCCTTTCCTTGCAAGGGATGGGGGGGGGGGTTTAGTCTTAAAGCCCCCGAGAAGAATTCCAGAGGAAGCAAATCAGGGCTGACCAGAGGGGGCTGATGAGAGGAAGTGGGGGATGGGGGCTTTTCTGTGCAGCCCTCAGCCATCTCCCCTCTGCCAGAAGCCTCGCCGAGAGATGGAGAAGATGGAAGGGCCACCTTATCCGTCAAGGAGCATTGCAGGAAGAGAGTGAGGGTCCTCAGCAGCGTTGACATCTCTTGGCTCCGGCCTGCAGTGGGAGGAGACCTCTCCGGGGCTCACCTGACATGCAGCCCACCCCAAGGAGAGGAGGGGCTCCCCGGCTGCACTGAAAAGCTTGCCTCTGAATGGCATCCCCTCCAGATGCTGAGAAGATTTAGTTTAGTTTAATGAAATTTGTATGCCGCCCACTCCCATTGGGACTCTGGGCGGCTCACACAGGCAAGATAAAAGCATTTTTTAAAAAATTTAAAATAAGAAATACAATATTAAAATTAACACAACATCCATTCTGTCCAAGAGGAGCTGGATATTAATCAACAGCCCCAGGCGTGCCAGAACAGCCAGGTCTTGGTGGCTTTACAGAAGGCCGGGAGAGTGGTGAGGGTCCAGATCTCTATGGGTAAGAGACCAACAACAGAAGATAATGGAGCAGGAAGGAGATATAGAGGGGTGTGTGTGCTGTTGAGGGTGGGATGGGGGGTGGTGTTCTCAGGCACAGAAGTCCCGGATGCAGGGAGTGATTGGGATCCTTTTTGGTCAGGGTTATGGAGGAAGCCTTGGCGGCCCTTATGGATGATCTCTGAAGGGCCCATGACCATCCCGGCCCTCTTGGATCTCTCAGGGGCTTTTACTGCCACCACACGGGGTACCTGTGTCAGCCCAAAGGCTTAGGCCAGGCTCCACATTAAAGGTACTTTAAAAAAAAGATTGGCGGGACCTTGCAAGTTTGACTCTCCTTCCTCTCCTCCCTCTCTTCTTCTCCTCTGGAGCAGGGGAGCCTCTTTCCCAGATGTTTGCTTGTTTAGGCTCCCCTCCCTATTGCTCTGAGGGAGCGACCCCCTCTCCCTTCATCCAGGCCTTCTTGGCCTGCCTTCTCTACAGCCCCCTCACTTGGGACACTCGGCTCCCCAGTAGAGGAAGGGAAGCTGCACCCCCCTCCCTTGGCTTCCACCTTTCCCTTTTTCCTTCCTCTGCCCAACCCTGCCAAGCCCCCACCCCGGCCTCCCATCAGCCCCTGCAGGGGAAGGCAGAAGAGCGGAAGTGGTCCTCCTTCCTTGCTCCAAGTCCAGCTTGGGGAGATGGAGCATCTTGACCCAGGAAGGTGGAGCTGCTTGGAGGTTGAGAGATGGAAGAAGGCAAGAGGGGCAGCCATGGTGCCTCTCGCTGGGAGGGCACCTCATTCCCTTCTTTCTGCCCCAAAAGCAAGCAGAGAAGTCAAGAGTTTGTGGAAATCAAAGCAAGCCAAGAAAATGTCATCATCCTCATCGTTCCCCAAAAACAGGCCCTGGGCACCTTCGGTCGCCTCCACAGAGGTGAGGGGCCAGCAAGACACAACTCCACAGGGTCCCTTCGGTTTATTGAGTGGTTGTTCAATTAAATACACAAGGAAAAGTCACACTTGTACTAGAGTTTCTTTCTTAAAAAGGTAACACAAAGACTTAATTGAGTAATTGAAAAGCCAAACTCTTCACTGATCTAGAGGAGATCTGGGCAGGAGGTGTGAAGGGCTCGGCTGTCCTTGGAGAAGCACATGGGGCTCCCCACAAGGCAGAAGGGGCCCCAAACCTGTCCCCCAGGGCTACTCAAAGAAGCACAGCCCACATGGCCATCCTGGGGGGGAGGGGCCTTGCCTCCCCCAGTGGCCCTTTGTTTTCAGATGGGGGAGGGGATGGAGAGCCATGATTAGTAACCTCCAAGACCAGCAGCCCAGTGGGGGAGGGTCCGGGAGGGGCAGCGGCCTGACTGAACCGCTTTCCCACGAGACGCCCAAAATGAACCAAGCAGACCCCACACCCCACTCCCAAATGCCAAAGAAACCTCCAGGAGGAATAGGAGAAAGGGAAAGGCAGAGGAAGAATGGGAGGGAATGTAAGAGTAGGAAAGAGGGGATGAATGGGAAGAAGAGGGGAAGGGGAAAGGGGAGGAAGGGGAAGGAGAGAAGGGAAAGGAGAGGAGGAAGGAAGGAAGGAGAGAAGAAAGAGAAGAAAGGGGGTAGGAAGGAGGGAGGGAAGGAAGGAAGGAGAGAAGAAAGGAGAGAAGAAAGGAGGGAAGGAAGGTGGGAATGTAGGAGAGAAGGAAGGGGGGAAGGAAGGAGGAAAGGAAGGGGGAAATGAAGGAGAGAAGGAGAAAAGAGAGGAGGGAGAGAAGGAAGGAAGGAAGGAGGGAAGGAAGGAGGGATAACAATTAAACAATTGTAGTTAAATGGAGGTATGATGATGGTAATATGTATAAATATCTGAGTTAAAATACTTGAGTTAATATGAATTATGCTTGATGACTGTGGAAGAGATGCACGAAAGTCTTTTGAAACCAATACACTTCCTACAGTATGTAAAAAAGGAAGATTTTATGTGTTGTGTTTGTTTTGGAAAAAAAATAAAAAAAAATAAAGGAAAGAAACCTCCAGAGTAGCAGGAACTGAAACCCACCAAGACCCGGAGGGAGGGGGGGGGGGGCTCGTCTACCAGCTGAAGCCCCCCAAGGGAGGAATGGAGCCCACCACAGCCCCACTGGAGCCCTGCCCACCAGACCCACGGGGGCTCCCTAGTGAATGGGCCCTTTCTATCCCGTCCCCTGCACTCTTTCCCTCCCCCACGTCTAGCCTGCAGCTCTCCTTCCCCGCACTACTGGGAACCGCGGGGGTCGCCCTCCGGCACTGCTCCTCAGTCCCAGTTCCCAGGTGGGTGGCAGGAGAGGAGGGGGGCGGCCAGGGACTGCCCAGGGCTCCTGCTCCGAGAGTGGGGCTTCCGGGTGGAAGGGCAAGGCTCCTCCTCCTCCTCCAGGAAGGCCTGCAAAGAGGGCGGGCCTCCCGCCTACTCCTCTGCATCCCGGGGCAGTGGGGGCATCGCCACTGAGGGGCCAGGAGTTGGTGACAGACACGAAACAGGCCTCTGGGTAGGGCGGAAGAGCCGAAAAGGGTCCCCTCCCCTTTCAGCCTTGGCGCTGTTTCATAAGGCATGGAGGGAGGGAGGGAGGGAGGGCGAGGGCTTCACTGGGTGTCCATGGGGAGGGGAAACGCTCCAGCCAGGACGGGCCGGGTCTTGCCATCCTTGGCCTGCCCACAGCCTGGCACTCCGCAGGTCAGAGTCCTCGGGCTCCAGGCAGTGTCCGGAGGAGTCTTCCGGGGCCCCCAGCTCCTCTCCCGCCGGCCACTCCTGCTCAGATGGAGAGAGCGCTGCAGCTGGGCAGCTGGGAGACGGAGGTAGCCAGTAGGGGGCTGGTGGGCAGCACCTTGATGGGCAGGTCCCAGCTGAAAGTGTCCACATCCATCTGCTCCACTCCTGTCCAGCTGGCGGCTTCCGACGGGTCCTTGGGAGCCACGGGTGCCTCGGCCGCGTCCCGCAGAGTGACAAACTCAAAGTGGAGCCTCCACTGGAGGGACACTGTGGAAGAGAGGGAGGTGCTCAGGTCAAGGGGCGCCGGCAGGTCCGACAGGGGGGAAGGAGAGCCCCGGGAGGGCTGCCTCGGGGGGCTCCGACCCCACAGGCTCACCGACGTTGGTGCTGAATCCCGGGGCCGAGCTGAGCGGGATAGGCAGGCTGAAGCTGGTGCGGGCCGTGTGCAGGCAGGACTCCTGGTGCCGGGCGTGGGTGCTGTAGGAGGCAGCCTGGCCCCTGTGGCGCTGGAAGGCCTCCTGGACACGCTCCTCCGTCTGCAGGCTCACCAGGTACTGGTGGGGACAGCATCCCGTCAGCAACGGTGCGCCCGCTCCCGCTAGGCAGACCCCCCCCGGGAGGCCCCTGGCCCCCCTCACCTGCAGGCAGGGCGTGTCCCCCTCGGAGAAGCTGAAGGTGCCCACCACGTCCTCCCCAATCTTGTAGACCGTCTTGAAGATGCAGAAGGTGGCCACTCGGCCCTGGGCACTGCTGATGTTGAACAAGTCTGAGGACGGACGGAGGGAGCTGCCCTGAGAATGCGGCCCAGCACGGCCCCGAAGTGACCCAGTAGGAGCTTATAGGGAGGGGGGAGCTGCCTGGGCCGCCGGGCCCCACAGGGAGCTGCCTCCCGAGGTTGAGGGAGACCCCCAGGATGGACGGTCAGAGGAGTGGTGGAGGCCTTCTTGCAAAGGAACCCCTGGGAGGGGGCCCAGGTGGAGGGTACCACGGCTGCCGAGGCCACAGTGGGTTTTGGAGGGGGGCTGTAAGGGACGATCTTCCAGATTGGGTGGGGACACTCACGCAAACTCCGCCGCGAAGTCACGACCGTCAGGAGCTCCGTGGCCAGGTCCGCCAGGCGGGAGGACTTCTTCAGGCCGCCCTCTTCCTCCTCCAGGAAGGGGTTGGAGGGGGCCACAGTCTCGTCCTGGGGGAAGGGGTAGTCTCGCAGCCCTGGGGAGAGGAGGAAGCCAAGTCAGAGGCCGGGAGGCCGGAGTCCCGGGCAGGCAGGGGGCCGGGGTGGTGGGGGGCTTACCCTGTAGCACCATCACTCGGAAGGGGACACGGAGCAGCTTGATGGCCGAGTTCACCCGCTGGCAGCCGATGGTCAGCTTGTAGACGTACTTCACCGTCTGGCCACGGAAGGAGGGCGGCCCGTCCACCGGAAGCATCTCGCAGTAGGAGTCTGGGGGGCATAGGGAGGGGCTGTGGACACAGGCCAGCTGAGAGGGGAGGGCACGACGGGTCCCGTTCTGCTCTCAGCCCCTCCTGCAGCTCTGGGGTGCCACCCCCCGCCCCCCTCACCCCTCAGCGCAACCCACGGGGGAAGGGAGGACAGCGCTCACAGCTCTTGGACTCGCCAGGATCCAGCCTCAAGTCACAGAAGAGGATCTTTGGGGGTGTTGACAGGATGCACTGACCCCGCTCCCCTGCAAACAAAACACATGTTACTAGCCCTCAGCAAGGCCTTCCCCTTCCTTTTTTTTTTAAAAAAAAAAGNAAATACATATTATTAATAACAGTTATGAGATCATATAATTGTGAATGTATATATGAAATTGATAAAATTAAAAAAATAATAAAAAAAATGACCATCAATGTGGCATAGCAGTTAAGCAGATTAGTAAAGGCAAAGGTTCCCCTCGCATATATGTGCTAGTTGTTCCCGACTCTAGGGGGCAGTGCTCATCTCCGTTTCTAAGCTGAAGAGCCATCACTGTCCGAAGACAGTGGTCTCTCTGGTCATGTGGCTGGCATCACTAAATGCTAAAGGCACACCGAATGCTGTTACCTTCCCACCAAAGGTGGTCCCTATTTTTCTACTTGCATTTTTACAGGCTTTTGAACTGCTAGGTTGGCAGAAGCTGGGACAAGTAACAGGAGCTCACTCCGTTATGCAGTGCTTGGGATTCGAACCACCAACCTTTCTGATCGACAAGCTCTTAGCCACTGAGCCACTATGTCTTAGCCACTGAGCCACTGTGTCCCTTTTAAACAGATTAGGACACTTAAATACCATTCAATCTGTACAAAAGCAATGTTTTTATGTAGCAACGGGCAAATAGAAATCAAAATAATTTCTGATTTCAAAAGTATTAAAAAGATCAGCTAGTGGAAACTGCACAAATAAAAATGTACAAAAAAATTGTTAGGTGATAATATTTATGCTAAATTATGTAACTTTCTAGTGAAAAAATGCTGTGTATCGATTGCCTCCAGGTTAACAATTACATTAAATACGTTCTCCACAATTGTTCTATAGGGACAAGAAATCAACCCAGATTTTTTAGTATAACTGCCGTATGAAATGGGAAAAAAAAATGCTTCTATGAAAGTGGAAAAAATGCTTCTATGAAAAAAACTGAATTCAAATAAGGTACTAAAAAAGACTTCACAGCTGCTTTTGATAAGAGCAACATATTCTCTCTTTGTGTCACAGATGTTATTTCTTTTTAAAATAAACAAACCTTTTGGGATCTTTTTGATTCTGAACCTCAAACTTCATCCTTATTGAGGGAGATATAAAAATCTAAAATTTGGTATATATAATCCATAGCAGGATAAATCCATCAATGTGCTGAATGATTATATCATCCAATTAGATTATCATTTACTCAAAGTAACCCCATAAGTATGAGCACTGGTCCCAAAACATTTTTTTCCCAGTACAGTCGTAACTTTGAACAGTTGTTAACAACATTATTATTATAAGTGGAGGAAAATGAAAATGGGCTTTACTTTGTTTAAGTTTTGGTTTCTAATTTGTTTAGCAAATTTATTTGCTGCCCATCGCAAATTTCAGACGACTCTGAGCAGCTCACATTAAGATAAAATAAGCCTTCAGCAATTATAAATATAAAAACAGATTAAAATTACAGAAATTAAAGCCAACTAAAAAAACAAGGGCTTGGAGGGGAGAAGTGGAGCAAACTACCCCCAGCCCATCCTCAAAGTCAATATTCCTAAATTCTATCTTTTTAAGACTGTCTGGTAATCAACTGACATCAGTTAAAGGAATGATAGAACATTCATTTTTCTCTTTATCTTGTTGACCTACTGTATATTCCTACCAAAAAATATTAAGTGCAGCTTACTCAATGGTTGCCATCTGTTGTAAAACTTGGTTTGCCAGCTAAATGTAGCCTTTTGGGGAAACTGAAATCACCTGTTAGAAACAGGTGATTCAGTTTCCCCAAAAGGCTACATTTAGCTGGCAAACCAAGTTTTACAACAGATGGCAACCATTGAGTAAGCTGCACTTACAGCATCAGATGATCTGGTCCGGGCTGAAATACAGACCAGATCATCTGATGCTGTCTTTTTAAGAACAGCTGTTTTACAGGGTGCTTTTTTTAAAGCTTGTCTCAGTACAATATATATACGATAACGTTCTTATCCTGAGATTTACTTCCTCTGTCATTTCCTTGCTTGTATGGGTAGTTGAGCACATGCATTTTAGAACAAACCGAATAGAGCAACCTCCTACACAAAGTCTTGTAATCCATTACAAATAGACATTAAATTAGTCTGTATAGAGCAGCGGTCGGCAACCTTAAACACTCAAAGAGTGTTTAACCGGAAGCCCTCTGTTCATTTCTAAAGCCGACCGGAAGTCCGGTTCCCCCACCATAGAGTCTCCTCTTAGAACAGCGTCCTTTTTCCTCTACCTGTGCTAACCGAAAACCTTATCAATTGTGAAGACGACCGGTGAAAGGGAGCCACAGCAGAGGGATGAAAGAGCCACATGCAGCTCCAGAGCCGCGAGTTGCCCGATCCCTGGTATACAGAAAGTGGCTACAACATGGGGAAACTCTAGTCACTTCAAGACAGGTTATTCTGTATTTCTGTGTGGTATAGCAGCAATAGCAATAGCAATAGCAGTTAGACTTATATACCGCTTCATAGGGCTTTCAGCCCTCTCTGAGCGGTTTACAGAGTCAGCATATCGCCCCCA